CTTGCTGAAAAAGGTATAGAAAAGGTAATCTAATTATAAATAGAAATATCTAAGTCATTAATTTATTACATGTTAAAAAAAATTTATTATTATTCCTAGATTGTTTTGGATTTAAGTAATAATTACGGTGGCGACGTTTATCTTGCACATCAAATAAATAACATTCTATTTCCTGACATTCAAAACTTTCCAGCAGATCTGAAAGTCAACAATATTTCTATACAATTCATAGAAGGATTTTCAATGATTAATTCATTATTTAATGAAAAAAATGCATTTTTACAACATTATAAGACATATATTTCTACAAGAACAAATACTTCATTCAATAGCATTGAAGACTTTATTGGAAATAATTTATATACTCGTGGAGGTACTCAGCTTAAATATACTTCAAAAGCATTTTTTAATGATACAATATTGTATGGTGGAATTTTAGAATTTCCAAAACCTCCAAAATTTCCTTGGACAGAGAAAGATATTATAATTTTGACAAATGGATTGTGTTTTTCGTCGTGTGCACTTATAACTCAACGATTAGCTGAAAATAATGTTCCTACTATAGTTGTCGGTGGATTTCCAAACAAACGATTTTCTTTTGCATCAATGTCTGGCGGGTATAAAGTAACTACGGATTATTTCGAAAATTATTTTAGTATACTTAAAAATCTCGACAGCTCTTTAGTCTCAAGCTTGACTCTTCCTGAAACTTTAACTTTAAGCTTTACCATAGCTGAAGTTTATAGTGTTAACCATCCAAATGAAGTAATGGATTTTTCTTTTAGACCTGCGGATTATCAGTTATATTACGACGAACGGAGTGCTAGAGATCCAAGTCAATTATGGATGCAAGCTGCAAAATTTATTAAAGGTTAGAAATTGCTCTAATTGGTAGCGAAACTACCTGATTGCAGCATACTTAGGATTTTTTTTTTCCTGACATAGGATGCCGATAGGCTCTCAATTAAATCTCTATATACGTATTGATAGGTTGATCTATCTAACACCTGTCTATAGATTTATTTTATATTATTTGTTTTAATTATTTTTATACCAAGCGGTTATCTATTGGTTATTACTCTGTAAACGTTCTTTTTCCCCTGAGAATGTACTAGCTAATATTGCTTCTATGTCCTTAATAAGTTCTTCCTTTAATACTTAGGATTTTAACTGCAATGATATTAGAGTATTTAGGTATTGAATCATCAGAAATAAGTGGGAGCTTTAAAAACAAATTTATGATCACTGGTAATTCGCAATTTCACGAAATAAAATTTTATTTTATTTATACACATGATATATTGGTAATGAAATTTTAATAATATAAATAAAAGTAATGCATCTGACAGTTTTGACAATCTTATATATGATGAAATTTTCCATTTTTCGTTCATTCACCGATAAAGTAATTCGATCATTGCCGTTAGATTTAGAATTAGAATTAAGATTAATTTAATTTATGAAAAAAACTTGTGGATCTTTTGTAGTATAGGTGACCCCTACTCTAAATCAATTAATAATATATTTTATTGGTGGTGTCACTTATATTGCAAGAGGTTCAAACTTTCCTATGAAACGTAATGTCGGTGAATCGTACTGTCGGCAAAATGGACAGATCCCTTAAATAAACACGTTTAAATTTTAATTTTACACATATTTATATTGTTTCTGACTTACGAGCATTACAGCTAGGGTACTGAACGAGCCGGGCTTTACTGAGCCCGAAACAAAACATGAAAAATGTTTTTTTTTTATCAATTCTGGGACATCTGACAAAAATTGACCGACCGAATATTTACCGATTCAATAAGTCTTGATTCGGCAGTGACTAGTGCTCCGAACGTGTCGGGTCGGGTTATGAGCCAACCCGAACCCGACCCGACCCGACCCGAAATTTTAGAGCTAATATACTATATGGAACTTTCTTGTGATTGGTTAATTTTATACAGTTTAGAGTACTTTTATGTCAACATAATAAAATTTTTTTTAAAAAAACGTACCTGTTGTTCATAATAATACAGAAGACACTTCACGAACGAAACTTTAAGTATTTTGGGTATCTCTAAGATTTACCTTGCCTAGATATATTTTACTTAGAGACAGTTTTTCAATTTAGAAAAATGGTAATTAGGTAATAAGCGCATTATTTATTGTGAATTCATGTAGTTTTGCACTTCTTACTGCTGTGGTTTTGCACTTCTTTACTGTTGTACTTTTTTATTATTCAAAGAAAATATTGAAAATAAAGTTTTATCAATTAAATCTTTAATATATAAAAGTACAAATAAGTGATGTTAATAGTTGTGACTAAATTATAGTTTAGCATATACTAATATATGCAATAATTATAATGTAATAACATCAGATTGGTAATATGCTGTGAAACATAATGTTTTGATAAATGCATTCTAGAATCTGTTTTTGTTTACTTTATATCAAATAAATTTGAATAAGTGTGATTTAATTAAATTTTTATTTCAATTTTGTGAGATAATCTGTAACTTGATATTATTTTATAATTTTTCTATAGTATTTATATGTGTATTGATTGGAATCTATAAAATTTTCTGAATAATTAACAGTTTTATATTTGAATCTTAGTTTATTAATATTCAAATAATCTTTCTAACAATCTGTATAAATAATAGATCTTTTTTTAACATATTTATCTAAAATATCTTTGATTATTTCTTCATCATATTTCTGCACTTTTATCAAAAAACATCATTTTTGTTCTATTCTTTCAATACTACTGATAATCAATATATTATTGATAACTCTATCATAATGATATTTTCTTCTTTTAAATTTAGATTTATCAATTTTAACAATGATTCTTTTATTAACTATTTTATCTTTATAATCTTTTAAATTATTAATAACTAATTTTTAATAAAATTTCATATAATTAGTTATTGTATTTAATGAATAGTCTGTCATTTTTTAATTAAATAATAATTATATTTAGATTATTAAAAATAACTAAATATCATTATAAAATTATATTTCATATGTCCTTTTGAAAAGAAAGAATCTTTAAAAATTAAACTGATTTTCTATACTTTTTATTTATATAAGTAAATTTTTTATTATTTTAAGACAGGTTTGCTTTATATATTTTACATTTTGTAGATTTATACAAAATATTATTATTGAATAAAAAATTTAATATATTTATTTTTATCTGTAAAATCTTTTTTATTAAAATAAAAGTTGGATATAATATTGTTACTAAACTAAAAATAAATTACAAGTTTTTATATAAATACTAATTATGTAATTAAATAAATAAAATTTACAATTCTTTTTTATTTTCTGATTATAATTTAATTACAAAATATTTTTTTTCAATAATAATAAGCTATTTCAATTGAATATACCAAATATAATAATAAATGATAAGAAATATAAAAGATATAAAAGTATATTTAGGTTACAGATTATAAGTTTAAGTCTTTAATTTTTTTATAAAATTTAAAAGCAAGTTTTATTTTTGTAAACACTTCATTTAAATTTTAATAAGTTTAAAGGTATAATCTTACTGTTAATATTTAAAAAAATAAAAAATATAAAGATATATACTATATATTATATATAAAGATATTATAGATATAATAAAAAGCTAAAAAATAATATATACATAATATATTTAAGATTTGTGATATCTGTAATATTTATGCTTTTCATGTTTTTTATGTTTTTATATTTTTAGAAGCTTGACTAATTTAATTATTTATATTCAAATTACATGTACTAGAATTAGTATTTCATTAAAATCATTCTGATCTTGTGATCTTGTAATCAGAATTATATGATTTTGTACTTATTAAAACCAACTTAGTAAGCTAAATTCAATGTTAGTTGTTTTATTTAAATTGGTTAGTATATTAAAAGTTATAATCAAAAATATATAAAACTCTTAATATTATTATTTTTTCTATTTAGTTTTGAGTTTTGTAAAAATTAGAATATGGTATGATAATCAGTAGTAAATAGATTATTAATTTTAGAAAGTGTAGTATTAGTAGTTCAAAAGACTTGTTTCACTTCAAGACTTTTAAAAATATTATAAACTCTAATAGATATTTTATAATAATAAGTAGAAACTTGTTTTATCATTCTTTGTTCTAAATGATTTTTTCTATCAGTTTATCTAGATAGTAAATATAGATCAATTGTGTTTGTCTTATATAAGGTCTGGTTTTAAGCAACTTATTTTAAATTTTTATAATTTAATCTTATAAACTTGGAGTTCTATTAATTAGTTAGAGCATTGTATTAGAATACAAAGAGATAGTACTAAGAAGATTAGTCAGAATTTCATTAAAATTATTGTTTATTGTAAGAAAGTATTATTTCTATTAATAGGAGATAGCAATTGATTAATAACAATTATAGAATTTCACAATTGTCTATTATGATATCTTTTTAGTAGCAGAGTATTAATTGGTGTTTTCAAAATATTGCTATTCAAGGTTTACAATATATAAATATCTGGTGCAACTTTTTTATATACAAAATAAAATCCTTTCTATTCAGGTAATAATTTGCTAGAATAATATTTGTCTCTTATGGCATTGTATAAAAGAATTTTATCTTTTTTCTTAAAGATTGGTTTGATCTTTTTGTGCCTTTTGTTTTAATAAAAGTTTTGTTAAATTCAAGTTTTTTTAATATTGTTTTTGACTTTTTTTATATTTAAAGTGATTCTTTAATTAAGGAGAATAATTGGATAAAAAAGTTTTTTTTAGTAGATCATCAATATCAAAGTTTAAAAATTTTGTTTTTCTTTCATATATAAGATAGAAAAGTATAAACTTAATAATAAATTGTTTTTTTATCCAATAAGCAAATAAAACAGATGTAATAAAAATATTTTAATCTTTAATTTAATTAGTTAATTTTGCTAAAGATTCATATAATATATGATTAAATCTTTTAACTAGTTCATTAGTTTGTAAATGATAGAAAATAGAGAGTAAGTATTAAATTTCAAAATTTTGAGTAAGCATTTTTATTAGCTTATTATTGAAATATATTTCTTTATTAGACTGCAGATATGTAAAACATCTATAATAAAAATTATATCCTTATAAATAAAATTTATGGTATTTTTGACATTAGCTTTAGGTACAACTTTTGTTTTTAGTCATTTGATTATATAATTAGTAGCAACTATGATATACTTGTATTGTTAATTAATAGTAAATAAAGGTTTAACAAAATCTATACCAATTCAATAAAAAGATGTTTCTATAGAAATTGGTTGAAGAGATCTAGATATTTAGTATTTTTTTCTTTTTTGATAAATATTTCATATTTAAACATAGTTTTTAATATGTTTATATATATATAACTAATAATATTTATCTTAAACTTCTAAATATCTTATTTGTTCCAAAATGTGTTCCAAAAGATAGTTGTATATTAAGTAGAAAATTAGTTCTATTTCATGTATTTGAAATACTTTAAATAATTAGTAGGTCTTGTGTTTTCTTTGATCTTATTTGTTAAATAAATTATTTTTTGATAATATAAAATTTATTTTGAGATTCTAATTGTTTTTTTTGACTTATATAAAATTTATAAAAAATTTTGCTATTTTTAAGAAGTACTTAAGGTTGTAATAAATAATAGGTTTTATTTTAACCAGGTTTTTTTTTTTTTTTGCTAAGGCTATACTTGTGGCAATACTTTATTGACTTTTATCGGGTTAGCTATTACAACTATTTTTACAGAGATGAGAGTATAGCTAGTCACATGTGCAACTTTTGGTTGCCTATTTAA